TAGGTGGTCGAATAGGTGGACATTTGAGATATACTTTGTGTAATGTTTCTCAATATAATGTCATAGTTTTCATTTTGATTGTTTTATGCCACTCTCAAATGGTCGGATAGGTGGATATTTGAAATATACTTTGTTTAATGTTTCTCAATATGATTTCACTTTATCTATTTTACACTTAAAACTGAAAATCCCTTGTTGTTGCAAGATGAAGGGCATTTTAATAGCTTTGTAGAGTAACGCAGAACTATAGAACAATATTAGCTTATTGATAGCTTTTGTTACGATACAGACATTAAGATTTCAAGTCTTCAAAATGGTTATTTTGGTTATGATAGAATATAAATTTAGCTCATTCAGGACTGAGACGTAACAAACGTTTATGGCGATGGCTTAGATTATTTTAGATGCTAAGCATTTAACAACTTACAATTTGTTTCTTCTGCGCTAAAATTAGGCTGCTGTCTGATTGTGTACAACATACATGATGACCTCTTTTCTATCACTGTAATACTATATTCTCCTCCGCTGGAAAGGCAACACAAGAAGTTCTATACACTATAATTTATGTCTTGCCAAGCTCAGCGCTTGCAGATTTTTCAGTCCATCTGGGAAATCTGTTTGTTAAAATTGCTCACTAAATAATACTGATATTTGAAGATCGCTTCTCTTCGATTTTGACGCTATTCAATCTAATGTAATTATAGCTGGGATATTATATTACACGTTGTCTCATTGAAACGCTTTCACTGCTATAAAATATATATTACCTTTTGTTAGAAAATTGTTCTGCATAAAACATAGTTTTAATCTACTGATAGAAATAAGCAATAACAGAATGTCTGAATATTCTCGCCATTTTTTCAATCAGAATTTGATTTTATATTTGGATTAAAACTCGACGAATTCTACTGAAACAAGTATTTCAAAAAATCCGTATAGTTGTTTTCCAAAAATGAAGATCTGGTGCGTAAAATGTAATGGTAACAAAATAAGTATGCATTCAGTTTTGTAATTGCAGAATTATCGTTAAGCGAAATTAATTATAATGTCGACCGTGAAATATCTGTGCTGTTTCGCTATATTGGCGTTACACATCAAGTTATCATATGGGGATTGCAACATAATGGCAGAGTGTGAAAATGGCTTGCAATGGAAAAGATGGACGAATAGTTACGAACCAGGGAAGCCTGGAAAACAGGTGACTTTTTATAATGTTGATGTTGATCGTTTTTTTAGTTTTTCAATTTAATCCATAAATAAGAAGATGCAAACGAATTTGATATTGAAATACCTCACTTCGTAATATTTAAGTTCGCAATCGGCACGGCATATGAGGTAGTTGTTTATAGAATAGATGATGCTGTAAATCACAGATATTCAAAAGAAAATTAACGGTAAAATATATATTTTCAGGGTGCACCAGGACCACACGGTCCACCTGGTGCTAAGGGTGAACCAGGAGAAACGATTGAGGTCATTCCTGCACCTGAAAAGAATGAAACAACACCCGTAATGCACTTTCTGGGCCATACGGTAACTTGGAACACCGCAAAAACTTTCTGTCACGTTACAGAAAAGAAACTATGTAGAACAAACGAACTGTGTCCCAGCAACCGAGGTGGACGCCATATGATTCACGATGCTATTCCAGGAGATCACTGGGTCCCAGTGCTTGATGGATCAAACAAATGGATGCAAGCTGGAGATTCTAGAGGTAAGTTTGTTTTATAATCAAATTATTTTGTCAGAAATGTTGTTTCAAATATATATACTTGAAGATATTTGCTATTGAAATGCATTAAATTTTAGAAAAAAATTGAAAATAAAATAACTGCATGCGGTGAAGCTTACATTCGTCGTTCGCTTCGAATAGGGCCTTGTACAAGATACACGGCTTTAATGCCATATGTAAGGAACTACTACTATATTGTTGAAGGTTTCAAAATCGTTGAGAGGGAATTCATAATCGAAATATGCAACGTATTACTTAATATGGTGTAATTTTTTGCATTTGCCACACGTGAAAAGTAACGTCAAGCAAAATTCATTATTTCGTCATAAATGAAACTATTACAGCAGTTGCTAGCAAGACTGATCATGCAAGTATATCTAGCAATAACTTTATTTCGAAAAATACGGTCAGCTAAGCGTTTCTATTATTCTTTGATACTCAGGGTTTACCTGTCACACACACACTGAAACAGTCGAAGGAATTATGGCGCCATGGGGAACCTCCAACAGTCCAGCTCCTTATAAGGGTTATGTGTATTGTTGTGGAGAGAAATATACAGGTTAATCGAAATATGCTTTTTTGTTTTTCACCTTAATTCGATAAACCATGTAGTGTTAATTGTAATAAAAGTACTCTACAATTTCTAAGTAAAAACCAATCCCTTCCTAGCAACTGATGGAGAGTCAGAGAAATGATCCATCTGACTGTAAATCTTCTGAAACCCGATTCTGAAATCGACAAAACCCGAAGTTGAAGTTCGAACCATGATTTTATTCATAGTAACGCTGATCGTACATTTGAATCCATACATTTGCACCGGTATATCCGCGGGTTCAATCTACATGATTGTGCTAAAATCCACGGGTTATGGTAAGCAGGTGCAATTGTCATGGGTTTAAATTACGGGTTCAAATGTACGTCGATTCAAATGTAATGTAACCATAGTAACATTCTTTCATGTACTCCATTGTGTTTGTCTCGATTAGTTTCAGTTGAATTCAACTACTACTCACTCATAAGACGCGACAAATTCGTGCTTAGAATACGATATATATTTCACGACGTGAAATTAGAAGTTATTTACATTTTCCCTGTACGAAAATGTGCTTTACTTTTTTAGTCGCTTGTCCAATCATTTATAAGTAAGTTTTGTTTGGATTTAGTGCTCAAGTATGCTCATTTGAAAACTGCTTTTACCGTGATAGGAGAATTGGCAATTTTGAAAAATGGTCAATAAATTTTTTCAACATTTTCATTTGTGACCCAATCCTAATTATTTCAATGTCAAATTTCATGATTTTAATTACCGCCGCATTCATTAAAAAGGTCCACGATATCAATACATTGGGAAGGCAGCCACATATGATATGTCAAAACAGCATTGTGTAAATCAAGGCAGAAGATTGTGTCATGCAAGTGAAATTTGCAACAACAACGAACCCATATATGGTATCATAGCCCGTGATGCATGGGTTGCTGCGAATGATCGTCATAATGAATGGGTTCAAATTGGCAATGGTGAGTTGATAGATGTTTTGATAAAGCAATAACATTTATATAAATCAAAGCCTCCAATCTGTAGAGGTTCATTTAATTTTTCTGTAAATGGAGATAGAATGTTTGACAAAAATCTACAATAACAAAATGATGATAATATGTTCTAACTTCATATTCCAAAGTGCAGCTCAATTTTAATTTTTAGCAAATACATGTGCTTTGCATGGTGCCCTCCATTCGCCACCCGCTTGGGGAATCAGAACTGATGAAACATTATATGATATTCTTGGTTTCGTACTCTGTTGTCAAAACTAAAACGAACCGAAGAGACCAAGAATGAAGAAGCCAACGCCAGAATGCTGACTATAAGATCAAAGAAAACAATATTTCTAATCATTCTATGTTGTTTTTACTATTTTTTTGTTCATAAATCTTGTTTTTAAACAAGTATTTTATTATGAAAAGCAGTTGAGGGTAACAAACAATTTGCAGGTATATAAACTTTTATCCTGAGTTTTGGTGTTTGTAAATTTAACCTTACGTGTCAAATAAATAAATGAACACATCAGTGTTCTCAATCGTGTCTTATTTTTATTATTTTGCGCCCCATCTAAACGGCGCCCATAGCATGAGCCGTGTCTCCCACACTCTAGATACGCCACTATTCAAAAGACGCCAGGCGAGTTTAAGGAACACTGCAAATGCCGCTGCAAAATCGCTCTCAGGGAAACGTTTTTCGATTTTTTTTCTGAGCCACAGCCATCGGCACCCCGTGGCTACGCCTACGATACACAACTTGATTGTTTTCGGTCGATGACATACCACAACATTAGTACAGATTTTGAACTGTGCTGAATACGGCTCCGTCGCAGATTTGTTGCTAATCTCCACACGATAAGTGAAAATTAATTGATACTTATGGCCACAATTACGAAACCTGATCGCTAGAATTATAAAGATAAATTTTTATAGAAATTTTTTTTTTTGGTAAATACTTTGTAATAGTTCGTACAGGCCGGTGGTCACTTTCTAGTTCATTAGTATTGAAGATAGACGATAGACGAAGATATTGACTTATGTAAATATAGCTGCCGAATTCTGGTGAAAATAATTCGGTTCTATTATCTTTGCACTAATGAACTACCACGGACAATTGTACCCATGCACAAGCATGGGTTTTTGCACCCATAGACCAATGAAATTTTACACCGACGAAAAACAGCTTTAAAAATAATTAAACGCGTTGCAATTTTGAGCCTTGCTGTGCAGTAATAATTAGGGAGTTACGTCATCGAACGCATCAAGCGAAGCATTTGCAACCTACGTATGTGAATTTCTCGGCCACGATTTTATATATATTTATGGTTGTGATGTCGTTTTGCTTAAAGTAAAGTTAGGAATAAAGAAAACACATGATACACAAATACGAATTAATCCACTTACGTATTTGTTGTTGTGATGGAGGTCGTTTATTGGCCGAGCATGCTTAAATACGGACCATGTTGGAATGCATGGAAAATGTTACCCCAGTAAATGCTATTTTGTATTATCCCAGTTCCCCTATATCTACCCTGTAAAGCGTTTCTTGTCCAAATAGACTGTAGATAAGGGAGAAAACAAACCGGATTTGTAATAATTCATTCCAGTATTGATCAAATCACATGTATACCATTAATAGAAGCACAATTAACCATTTTGAGTTTCCGTCATTATTCATTACATTTATACTGTTTGCGCAGGCAGAAGACAGAATCGAATCATATCTAGTATTTTCAATTTCATTTCGAGTCCTTCATTGTGTCTTTCGCGCCATCGATTATCTTTCGATAATGCTCACTAGAATACAGTGCCCAGGCGTTTAATATGAAAATCATATGTGCTGGTTTCTGGAAAACCGGCACAAAAAGTTTGGCGGAGGCTTTGACAATACTTGGGTACAAAGTATATGACTATGATTATCAACTGTTCGAATTTCCTGAGCTGTGGAATAAGTTATTTGACGGGACAACTACTGACGATGAAATTCGCGAAGAATTAAAGGATGTTGACGCTATCATTGATGGACCTGCAATTGCATTTTGGGAAGACATATCGAGTGCGGTTCCAGAAGCAAAGGTGAATTTGTTTTAAATAAAATTTAATGCGTGATGACCTCTATTTCGATACTTAGATACGCGCATATGGTCGTCTCCGACAAGAAGTGTAGTTTTAAATAAATTTAAATCGTGACATTTATAGGTAATCTTGACGACAAGAGATGAAGATAAATGGTACAATAGTTTACTCGGAATGGTGAATAAAACTCCAGCGATTTTGAGATATTCCTACCCTTTAATATTCTTGACACCAACAGGAAGAAAATTTCTTGGAACTGGTTTGCGAGTCTGTAAGTTAAAGATCTCATATTAATGTATATTTTTCAATAGTATTGCTGTATAATTAAACTAATTTCACAATATAGCATCTTTTAGCCAAATTGGGAATTACTTGCGAAATTTCTGTACTATTTTAAAATGATAAAGCTAGTCTATAGTTCGAATGAAATGTTCTGCTGGTACGATAAATTGCTTATACGTTTAGTTACTGGCGGCTGGCACGCGCACACACTCACATCTGCGCATTTTACAAAACATGATCGCTTTTGAAAATTAATTTAATAAATATATTAGTGGCTAACAATGACAGGAGAGCCACAATGTTATTAGAGTAATTAGACTCTTAGCCTCAGTGGCTATGAAGGGAATACATTGTCAGACATAGTTCATCGCCCCAGAGATTGAATAATATTCATCTTTAGAGGCATGCTGGTTTTCATTTAAAACGGAAACGTTCGACATCGTCACCTTCACAATATTTGTGAGGGAATCAACAATCAATTGTTTAATTCCTTACAAAGCGGAGTAGATGAATAGTAAATTGTCATCATTCTGTATAGAGTATACTATATCTAACTCTTTTCTAACAAAATGTAGGTCATTTCTTCGTCCGCCTGAAAATGATCTGTAGAAACCTGTAATATGTAGATCTATTTTGTGATGCTGGCATGCCTATTTGAAATCAAATGTTGGGTGAAACAATGGTTTTCATTTGTGATGAATGTATAGAATTTATGTATTAAACGTGGTAAAATGGGCAAAGTAGTCAATACTTCCTTAGCAGATGACTGAGAGCTCTTCATTGCATGTCTTTTCAATACTGGTATTTTATGAGGCTTACTATTTTTTATTATTGTTTGCCGTAGTTTTGTGACCGATTTCATTTCTATAACTCGAGTAGTGTTATAAGCAGTTATATATTTTACATCTAATAATTTATTTCATGTTTAATTATATTCATATTTATTCAGGGTTCTATTGCTTTGGTGGCGGCAGTCCTATGTTTATGACGAAAAATCCAGGACTACACAAGCGTAAATTTCGTCAACACAACTGTTACGTTACTTCTTCCGTTCCAAAGGAAAAGCTTCTAGTTCTCAATGTTGGAAGCGGGTGGGAACCTTTGTGCAAATTTCTCGGAAAAGATATCCCAGATATTCCATATCCACACAAAAATAAGGACGCCTCACATCATACAACTGAAGGAGGTCCTCAGCACCCTAAAATCAAGCAATTAATGCTAGAGTTCATGCTTGTATTGGGTATATTTGTAATACTCGTTTCTTACATTTTTTACTTTCTATATATTTACATTTGCACATGAAAAAGTTAATTCAAGACTACCGGAAAAGCATGACCGCCTGCACGCACATAAAGAGAGCGGACGCAGGACGAGTTTACATAGTTGGAGTTAATGAAGTGTACTGGGCTCTTTCAGCATTACGACCGGGGCTGGGAAGTTGTATGGAATCACAGCGACTCCAGCTCCAGCCACAATGTACTCAAACTATGGCTCTATCTCCAGAGCTTTATTTATCCGTTTGCGCAAGGCTTCGGTTCCGGCTCCATAGCCATTGTAGTTTTTAACCACTAGCATGGAAAATCAGTCCGAAATGCAATCCGCGGAAGCTGGACTCAAAAGTGTGATACAAGGGTTTTTCATTTTAAAATTAATATTAGAAAGAGCGATGCTCAAATATATGGACACGAAAATCAAAGAGAAGAAGTAGTCGTCTACCTTATATTTTACAGTACCGGTACCGCCAAAGAACTTCCGACATTCGCGTCGCACGAGAGAAGCTGGAGAACCCTTACGAATAATTTTTATTAATTTTCAAGAGGTCATCACACATAATTTTGAAGTGAAAAACGAATTACATAGAGCCCACAGAAAGTTTAGAAGTAATAGCCTTCTAACGAAAAATACAATCTTTAACTACTGAAAATTTCAAAGCAATTGATGCATTAAGTCAATTGACCCATAGGTCTACTTTGCGTCCAATAAGGATATATATTGTTTTCATTGGTATGAAGTATTAGAAAATGATTAGAATCTGGAGCTACTGAATGTTCTGTCATATCCAGCTCCATCTAATATGGCAAGCTTGGCTATAGCTTCACCAAAATATCACGGATCCATGGCTCCAGGCTCCGGCTTCCCAGCCCTGATTACTAACTAGGGCTGGGAATTTCAGGTAAAACATGCTCATCTTTGACCGGTTAATCGCAGCGTGACGTTTGAGGTAATAATTTTAGCTGATACGTCACAGTGGTTAGAAAGCAATTTCGCGTGATCTCTCACAAATTTAAATAGTTTCGTGTTCGCTCTTAATTAATCATAAACTTCAATCATAAGAAAATTACAGCTTATCTAGAATTAACGTGGAGAGTCACGTGGGACTATTGGATGGTGCTGTATTTCAATGTATCCAAACGTGTAGGACAGGGTGGTCGAAACCCAGGCTCGCGGGCCACATGTGGCCCGCTGTATCATAATCTGTTATCCAATTCCACACAATTGATGCTTCATTTACTCAAAAATACATATTCATGTCAAATTTGACCAATACCACACTTGCTATCCGACATTTTATTTAGCTTTAAACGCCTATATTTAATTGGCCTATTGCGTATATGTAACTATTTTCATTTTTTCCTTTGAAATTTAACGTTACTTTTGGACACACCTGAAATATGTTAAACCATATATATCTGGAGCATCTTCTATTCATGTTTTATTGATATTAATATTGGGTTGTAACTAGAGCTCGACCATATATCGGTTAACCGATACATCGGGTCGATATTACGTGTTTGCCGATATATCATATCGGCAGTAAACCGCCGATATATATCGGCAATATTCGGGCTAGCGCCGGGCTGCGTGCTTCAACGACTCTCGCCCTGCGTAACTGGTTTCCCAATATTTCTCTCGCTCCCATTTTGTGTTAAAAATATGTCTTTCATAGTTCCCGGTGGCATATGATTATCCATATGACCATTATGCATAGTCATAATTGAAAAGTTATTATCCGGAGTAACATTTAAAACAAGAATATCAGTCGGAGACCGAAGACTTATCGATCAAAATTAATTGCTCACTCTCACTCCATAGCGACACCACGTGTCACATCACTGATTAATTATTAACTCGCTAATTATACGACATAATTCATCCAAAATCAATAGGCTTCTGGTCCGAGATACGATGAATGCACATGCAAATTTGGAGGTAATATAACCATACCATAATATATAACCACCTCAATATAACAGACAGACAAACGAGAATATCGGTCAGGAGACGAAGACTTATCATCAAAATATCGCTCTTTCCCATAGTGACACCTTGCGTCCCATCACATCACAGCAGAATGAAATTGTAGGGCCAGAAAAAGAGAGCAAGGGAACAAATTTTGAGAAATAGACACCAAAATAGGCTCTAAGCTTGATTTTAGATACACCTAGCATCGCAGTTTGTTATGTAATGGAATTAATAATTGTAATATTTAGCTGATAGAATTCCCGAGAAATAAATAACAAGCACGATAATTTGCAACTGATAGTGACTAATGAAGTTACTTGCTCACCTAGCATATGGCATCGTATGAATGGCTACTTATGGCTTGTTTTGTTTCACGTTTTTTTGAACATGTTTGTTTGACTTTTGTATGAATTAAGCAATGAATTAAATTTTGAAATACGCGCGTCAACTGATCATAATGTCGCAATCCTTCAGTAATGAAATATTTTGTTGGCTAGGAAGACAAATCACTGAAGTTTGATTCTTTTCAATAAAGAAATAAAAACGCTGCCATTCATTTTGTGACGTTTTGTGACTACTTTGAGCTTTCTTAATATACGGCTGATATCTAAAATACTGCAGTGTGTAATCCTAATACCCACACGTATAAGATACCGGTATAATTCAATTGTTACGAAATAAACGGACTCAAACTGTGATAATGATGTAACGATAGACGGTATCTAAAACTCAAAAGGTACCACATGAAGTGTTAAACTATTTCACTCAAGTTCGGCGGGCCATTTTAAATCTTTACGCGGGCCGTAATTGGCCCGCAGACTGCGATTTGGAACCCCTCATCTACACTGATAAATATGCCATAGTCGTTATTGGACACCTTTAGTGGAAATATTGAAAAACCGCTTTTCTCTTTGATCACTGGACCGATTGCTTTGAAATTTTAAGTGGTCAAAGATGAAATTTTTCTCCAGAAGGCTATTACTTTTATTTATTTCAAATGTTCGTTCGCTCTGTGAGATTTGTTTTTGTTTGCTATTTGTTTCACTGCTTCGCTTGGTGTGAATATATTTGTAGACTGTGGTCTAAAGGCACGGTAAACCGTACCTGTACTGTACTGCTTCGCTTGGTGTGAATATATTTGTAGCCTGTGGTATCTGCTGTTATATTACCGTGATAAATCGAATAAGTTGGTTTTGAAAAGAAGAAGCGTCTGGCATTACAGATAGGAGGGGGAATAGGCAAAAAGACTCATCTCCTCACCCTCATCGGATAGAAATACATCACTCAAACAATCCTTATAAGCGGAAGAAAAAGATGTGTTATGCGAAAAGAAAACAATAACAAAGTATCTCACAATCTTAGAAAAATCTCGAAAGGCATTGTATGAAGTGGCATATTTAATCGCCAAAGATAAAAAAAAAAAAAACACATACCATTGGAGAAACGGGGCTCCCGAAGGATGCGAACCAAGATGGCGGACATCGGAATGTAATATGTGTACTAGGTTAGGGTTAGGCCATAATTTTAGGTATAAATACTACGGGAGGCTCTTGGCTAGTCTTCGAACTGATAATAGGACTAAATAAGGAAAATTGGAAAAAAATTATCGCCCTAACCTGTTACCCATGTTACGTTCCGATGTCCGCCATCTTGGTTCGCATACTTCGGGAAGCACCGGAGAAACACTAATCAAAACTATTGCAATGAGTTAAATTATGAATGGAGACAAGGTAACTAAGGAAATGAAAAAATACCAATATCTGTACATACCATTTGCCGACGTATCAGCGAAATGGGTTAGAAGATATTAGGTGCCAACTGATTGATAGAGTCAAAGGAGGAAAATCTAACGTCTGGTTTAGCGCAGTTGATTGTGTTCGTTAGGTATATAAGTTACTCAAGTGCCTTGGTGCTTTCTGGAACATGCACTGGTCAAGACATATTCTCAACAGTGGCGACGAGACTACAGAATGATGGATTATCATGGGAGCGGTGTATTAGTATTTGTACTGATAGGGCTGGGGCCATGGCGGGAAAACAAAAGTTTTTTAGAGTATTACTAATTGCGCCTCATATCAATTTTACGCATTGCATTCACTATAGGGAAAATCTGGCTAGCAAACATTGGACACACCAGGGTCCGCAAATACGGGGTCGCGACCAAGTTTGGGTCAATCGGCATAAGTTGCAGAGATTTGACGTAACAATAAACGTTTTAAATTTAGGTTGATATTAAATTTAAAAATAAAAGTGATGTTATTCAGAGTAACGTATTTCTTACTTTTAGCCTACTGCGATTTTGTAGTTGTCCAATTTTGAAAACCGATCTCACATAAATGTAAAAATGCCTGTGAAAGCTTTTTTGCAAAGGGTATTCAGATAGCAGTATTGCCCAAAAGGTTGCCAAAGTAGCTACCCTATAAATCGCAAAGGACCTCTTTTCAAACTCCATTATTGTTTGAAACCTTTCAAACATTAAAGATGTTGATTTAGGACATTGTCCCGTCTTTTGCGTCACGTTTCTGTGGACCGTTTAGTAACCTTTCCGCGGCCCGGCGGTTGCCTTCCACTCGATTTAGTCATTCAGACAGATTTTCGATGGTTGTGAATATCACCTCGTTTTGGTCCCAGTTTTTCACGTGTTATTTGTTAGATTTTAGGTTTGTGTTTTTGGGTAAATATAAGTCCTAGACTCGCAAAAAACCATTCCTTGAAATAAGCTACCAATAATTTTGTGGCAATGGTAGATGTGATAAAGAGGAAGATTCAAGGAGCCAAAAGTCGGGGAAACATCCGTTACTTAGTTGTTCGCATTGTTATATCCTACTACGTAGACTTCAGGTTCTCAAAGTGCTCTGTACGGAGCCTCAGGAGACACTTAGGGCCTTCGCGAGCTATTCGTTTACTTGAAAACTGTCCTCGACCCGCTGCCCTGTTTTCATCTACTTACCTATCCTCGACCCACTGCCCTACCTCCATCTACCTACCTATCCTCGACCTACTGCCCGACCTCCCTCAACTTTCCTATCCTCGACCCACCGCCCTATCTCCCTCAACCTTCCTATCCTCGACCCATTACTCTATCTCCCTATCCTTGACCCACTGCCCTTTCTCCCCAACTTTCCCACCCTCGAACCACCACTCTATCTCCCTCAACCTTTCTCGACCGACTGCCATAGCTCCCTCAACCTACCTATCCTCGACCCACCGCCCTATCTGCCACAACTTACCCATCTTTGACCTACGGCGCTAAACTATTTAGTACCTGACATAACGGCGCTTTATTCACGACCCGATCGCCACACTGAACTTTACTATCTTCCGACCAACTTCCATCGGTTATACTGGTCGTGTATGCCAATGAGATGATTCAATCGTACGTACGTCGACAAAACATGATTGACGGCATTCGTATATGTAGACTGGAATCTCAAATGGTAAACAATAACCATAGTTGGCAGTTTAAAAATGTGGGAATGACAGTTTTCTAAATTTTAACAAGCCGTTTTATGCCCTTAATAATTGACATGTCGTGAGTTTTGATTAAATAAAAAAAGCCTCTTTGTGCCCTTAATAATTGGCCATGTGGTGAGTCTTGTGAAAATATGGTGCTGATCCGAAATAGGCAATAGTGCTCTGGTCCGTATAAAGTCGTTTTCTTCAACATCTTAAAGTAAAAGCGATGCCAAAGATTACGTTCGAACTGCGTCCGAAAAGATAAGCTCAATTTTGAGACTATACGCTGAATTAAAGAGCCGTTGGCAACGTTAGCTACGACAAAACACTTCATGGTTTAAAAATATATTGGAAGGGATTACACTCACTGAGCGACTTAAATAAACTCACTGAGTGACTTTTCAGCCTTCTCAGTCACGTAAAAGAAATTTGTATATAAATCTAAGTAGGATTAAAAAAATGCATGATATGACACATTCGTTGAAAAAGACCAAGCGTGCAATTATTTGATTATTTCCTCATCGTTTTGCCTTGCACGGAAATACATGCGAAATCGAATGAGTTTCTGGAAAGGAACTCAGATATGTAGATATCGAATGGCCTGTTAAATTTTAAAAACGATGACTCCAAACCCGATGCCCATCAGTAGCCTAATTAGTAGCACATTTTTAAGCCACTAATTATGGTTATTGATTACCAATTGGGATTCCAGCCTACATTTACGAATGCCGTCAATCATGTTTTGTCGACGTACGATTGAATCCTCTCATTGACATACTCGACCAGTATAACACATGGAAGTTGGTCGCGAGATGGTAAAGTTCATTTTGACAATTGAGGATAGGAAGGTTTGGGGGAAATAGGACAGTGGG